TCGCGACAATGAAGCGATGAACTTTCGATCCTCGGCAAACACGATTTTCGATATTTTAAAAACCGGGAAATCTCTCTTTTCAAAAGAGAGGTAACACGACGAGGGTCAAGCTAATCGTCACATGTCACACGTTGAAACGCAGCTTTAGATAATGAGCTTTAGACGAATTAAGAAAAAGCCGCAGAGTAATTTTATGTGCACATTTTGAATAACAAACAAAACCGATACAATTATTTTTAATTGCGTAGTAGCACACAAGTCGAATTTTAATATCTTACATTTTTTAACATATTTTCATCCCGCTTAATTAATATGTAACATATCGATATATGTGTTGACTTGTTACTAAACATATTTCATTTAAATTACATATTTTATTTAAATTACTTCTCATCGATAAGTTAATAATATTAGGTTAATAATGATTATGTATATTATGATCATATTATTTTTTTCAAGTCTGGCTTGTTTTACTCTTAGGAATTTTTAATATCGATCCCCTAAAAATTAGTATTACTTACTGACAAAAATATTACGCCGCTCGCTTCGGTGTGTAAACCTTTAATTTGTTCACTTTATTTAATAACATTGATCTCGCGTCGCGACACAACCATATTAAAAGTAAACAATAATAATTGTAAATGCGATAAGAGTTTTTTTTATTAGTCTCACAACTTGATATTCAACAGTTTTTTAACGACTAGATAATAAGTGATCTGTTTGAAAAATTAGATAATAACCGATCGGTTATTTTATACACATTTTTCCTTCTCTCCGTATCTCCGCGCGCGGTTTGAATATTTTCTCGTAACGAGACGTTCGTTTTGTTTTTTATTTTCTATTACTGCATGACGCGCGGTACACTTTTTCGCTATCGCGCTTGCGACTTTCCGCTTACGAACAACAAAAATCTTGCGAAAATATTTGTGAATAGTATACCCAGCGATATCAATTTTTTTATATGTCTTCGCGTGCGACCATTAGATTTGGATCTTGAAAATAAATAAATCTCACATGACATTACAAACTTTAGATATTTCGCGCTTTGTGAATCTCTTTTTGAAATATTAAGAAATAAAAAGTTTAGGATACAGAAAAAATATTTAAAGTAATTTAATTCTTTCAATGTGCGCTCAAAAATACTAGCGTCAAATTAAAAGTTTATTTGTACAAAAATTTATTAATAGTTGTATTATTTTATAGTTAGATACTTTTATTTTTGTGGAAGTTGTTATTTTTCTAATGTCTTATAATCTACATTGTAACAACACAGATATCCGATGATTTTTAGACCGTCATATTGGATATAACTGAAACGCGCCACACAATATTTGATCAGTTCGTATCTCTGAGAGATATCCATGAATATTCCGAGAATATCCCGTTCTGTATGATTGTACAAGGCAAACGCAATCCGAACACAGAACAAACCGCGCGCACCGGGGAAGCAGATAGAACCTAGCGGGCGCTAGACAATATCCTCGATACTAGCAATTCCCTGCGGTCTACGAAAAGCTTACCGCGTGCGGGTTGATGTGGAGGCGGGACATCTGGAATCGCAAGGAAAAAGGCCAGCAAAGCGCGAATACCACGAGCTATACGAGAGATAAAGAGATAGAGACGACGGCAAAAGAGAAAAGAGAAAGATAAAACGGAAAGAGAAACGGATGAAAAAAACACACCCGCAGAGATCAGAGGCCAGAATAGAGAAATGAAGGTGCGATGGCGCGAGAGCGTTGATTGAAGTGCATGTACTTACGCGCACGTGTTACTTACTCCTGCTGTTATACACTCCTGCTGTTTCGCGCGCGCGCGCGCGCGTGTATGTGTGTGTGCGCGCGGCATGCGTCGCAGTTGCAGGTGCATTGTCGTCGTTTCCTCCCTCGTGGTCGCCGCTGATGCCAGCTTCGCTGTTTCGGCGACGTTACGACGAGCGAATGCGCGTGAATGCGCGTAAGTGCGTTGAATGCGCCGCGCCTCGCTATACGCTCGCGGATGCAGCGAGCGACTCCGGTGCACTTGAGCGCACAAGTGGATTGTCGAGCAGCGCCGACAAACCACGCGGTTATTTATTCGCGTTTGTAACTTGTTGTGATATTTGAGTCGTATCTTTGTCGATGTCGCTCTTATCAAAAGAAAATGGTTTTTTTGTTAATCTTTTAAGAAAATAATAATTTAGATAAAGAATAAAAATATGTGACATAACCTGAAAAAAACAAACAATCTTCCATAAATATCTCTCGAAGCATATTCTCAGTACGAGTCTGTGTTTGCACGATAAATCTTGATTTGTAAAAACTTTTGAAAGATTCGAAGGTTTTGCTTTTCTGTTTACACTCGTTCGCAATGTCATCTCAGAAATTTGCCAAATATAATGAAAGATAAATAATATAAAGCAAACTGTTTTTGTTTTGTTTTTTTAAATAGCACTTTCCCACGTGAATTTATTCATATTGTGAAGCGCAGACTGTGTAGATGTGGATCGATAGGTTTTTATTAACCGACGCATTTCTCGATTCGAATCACGATTCCATCAAAGAATCGTCCGTTGATTTTATTTTCGAAAAGCGGAAACGTTGCATTTTACCTCTGCGTCAATTTGTTTAGTTACGACCGGCCCCTTGTGAAGCCGCACAACAATTAATTTTAATCCTAGGCTCGGGATTTTTACGTGAACGCCGCCAGTGCGTTCCATTGTTTCGCTCTTTATAGGCAAAAGCACAATTTTAAGCCTGGGACGCTCGTGTGTGTGGGGTTTTATTCGATCGTACACGTTGATTCCGGACTATCTGAATATCGTCATTGATTTTACGAACGTAGTATTTCCCGCGCACATGATACATCGCGACGTGTAGGATCCTGAGCTGTTTTCGGTGTAGATCTTGAGTAGAAGTAAAATTCGAACGACGGGTATTTTGTATTGTTCAACGATCATTATTTTAGCGATTACGAAACGTGAGTGGGCTGTACAATAATCTTGAGGTCTCGGATCACAAATATCCGTATAAAACACGGTAAGGGCGAACCTTCTCCTTGTTAATTGACGTCTATAGATAGGTGATATACAATGTGAGAGAGAGGGACTCCTCGTTAGCTCTACTATTTTGTTTAATAAAATTATTCGTTTAGATACTTTATCACAACAGGTGGAATATATCGTAGGAACCCTGCCTGTGTCTTAACGTGTGTGTGTGTGTGTGTGTTTGTGTATGTGTGTGTGTTCTTGTCTATGTATGTATACATTGTTCAATCTTACAACCACAGCGAACTGGTTACATCAGGCATCGAAACCAGCGTAATTTCAGCGAGTTCGAATTTCCATAGAAAACGATCTCCCGTGCTTATACGCGACAATGGAATAAAGTACGCTCTTTTCATATCTGTCTCTCTGAATTGAAGAGAGAATTGAACTCACCGAAATTCCACCGATTTTTTTTTTTTTTTTATAAATCCCCGGATTACATTAACGGAGCTACTATCCGTCGCAGATTCGCAGCGCGTCTTCCCCCCCTCGGCGCATTCTCTCGATATTATATATTACACTTTACGCAAAAAACTATTTACAGAGAAAAACGATATGAAGAAAAACAAAACAGATATACAGTTCGACAACAATTAAAATATATCATAGATGTCGCGCAATTGCACGCGGGACGGTTCGAAAAATTTTCATTCCTCGCATCCGCGCGAATTGCTCCTTTCACGCGCATCGTCGCTTTTCTACCGCTATATTATAAACTATCTACAGAGACTTCGAGTGTGTGTCGAGAATCGAGCGGAGTTGAAACACCGGGACGCGTAATTGCCGTCTCCGCAAAAATTTTGCATTCCGTTTGGAGTTTGTTTTTTTTTTTTTTTTTTAAGAAACGAACTGAAACGCGAAGAGCGGCTACGTACGCGGTTATTATTACATCGACGACCAACCGGAAGAGAAACCATACACAGCTTACTTTTATCGCTCGTGGTGTAAGGGAGGGACTCAAAATCATGTATAATCACAGTTTAATTTCGCGCGGACATTGTACATAACACAATACAACACAATATTGCGCGCGGACTAGCAGAAATATTTTTGGCGTTTGACGATACAAATCGAAAAGTATATTTTATTTTCAAACACATTCATCGACAAAATTAAATATTTAACTCAATGATAACTTAATAACTGTCCGTACATAATAATCGACAATATATTATTTTCATGCAAAATTTCTTGCTGTGTAATTTATTTGGAAGTAGTGATGTAATATCGTTTTTTCAAGCGCCAAAAACACTTTTCATCAAATTAATTGACAAAACTTATACTTTTTTAAATAAAAATAATAAAAGATACATGATGCGCATAAACATGAGTATAAACTTGTAAATAGAAAATATAGAACGTTAACACGTTGAGAATTTAAATTCAATATGTGATTTTGTATTACTCTTCCAATTATAGAAATATATTGTTTGAAAAATGTTCCAAAATAAACCAATTTCAACTTTTTTCACGTGTTTTCTCAATAAGCATTTATTCAAAAGTCAAAAGCGTGTATTAACTTTTAAATATTACGCTACTGAAATATTGTCAATAAATCTGTCGTCGGAAATAATTTTGATATTACAGATTACGTGACATAATCTTATATACTTTTTTAGTACGAAAAAAAAAAACAACTCTACATTTCTTCTTCATACTCACATTTATCCATCTTTCCGCGTCCACGTAATAAAATCATACGAATTCCAACACTCTCGATTACCGCCGAGGGGACAGGAGTGTCGTAATGTCGCGGGATTGAAATTTACGGAATGATTGCAAGACGATCACAAGAAGACTCGCATCAACGCCTATACATTCGTCACTCGTCAACGTCGATCAGCCTGACGTGGTTCAGGCAAGGTATCATTGTCGTCGTGGTCGCGTCGCTCACAGAGATCGTCTTGTTCAGGATCATCGTCGCCGGCGTTGTCTCGTGCAGCAGTCGAACGCTGCCCTCATAAGTCGTCGGACGGTGTTATTGCGAGGACGTCCGCGGTGGTTGGCCGTTAGGCGGTGGCGGGGGTGGCGGGGGAGGTTGAGGGTGCACCTGGTGGGATAGGAGACTGTGCGCCTGCACGTGGGCAGCCGCGGGGTGGTGATGGTGGTGCTGATGGTGATGGGAGTAGAAGATGGGCTGCGCCGTGGTAGGCGCGCACGAAGTGCCGACGCCGACGCCGACGCCGACGCCCACCCCGACGCCGACTGAGTGCGAAAGAGCGGAAGTAGCAACCGACGACGGCACCGGCGGACCCGGCGGACCCGGCGCCGATACCGAGACGGAGACGCCGGCGGACGCGCCGGTGCCGGCCGACGCTTCGTGGTACAAAATCGGCACTCTGACTAGCCTCTGGGTGGCGTGCGCCATGTTCGCTGCCTCTAACTCGGCTGCCAGCTGTCGCTTCCACTTGTTTCTGCGATTCTGGAACCAGATCTTCACCTGGGTCTCCGTGAGCCTGAGCGAGGCCGCGAGACCGGCGCGCTCCGACGACGAAAGGTAGCGCTTCATGTCAAACGTGCTCTCCAACTGGAACACTTGCGACCTGGAGAACACCGTCCTGGTCTTCTTCTTGCGCTTTATGCTGTTGGATTCACGACCGTCCACGCCGACCTGCACGTTGTTTTGACCGTTGTTATTGTTGTTGCCCCCGCCGCCGCCTCCGCCGCCGCCACCTCCTCCACCACTCCCGCCACCAGAAGTGCCGTGAAGACTCGTTGACGTAGACTCGGCTTCGCCGTCGGCGTCCGCACAGTCGTCCACTTCGCCGAGGTCGTCGTGCGCCTCGTCGCCGCTCGATGGACTTCTAGTGCGGTGCAAACGATCGTCGCCGTTGTCGTCGTCGAGTTCGTCTACGCAGAGGAAAGACATACGCTCATTCGAGAAACGTACTTTTCTATTAATTATATTCTCAGTTTTGCGAATTATGAATCAAAGATGATTTTTTGTTTATTTACGAGAATGTTAGTTTCAAATAGGATTGTTTTATAAAATTGATTTATAATATAAACCCCCTAGAGATGACAATTGCGATATTGCGTAACGAATAGATAATGATAATTTGCACATAAAATATGTGTATGTGTATGTACATAAGTATATATATGTGTACGGTGCACCTAGTGTATTTATCGAAATAATCAAACCGTTAACGAGAGAAAGGCACAAGCGCGTTAATTGCTTTTCTTTTTAAACGTGATCCGCACACGTCAATCAACCTCACGGAAGCGCTTTGGATTTACAAATTCTCTCACGCGTTCAATGTTCAATCGCCACTATACATTTCTCTATCTACTTTGAATATTTAATCAATTAATAGAACGCTAATTAATATTCTATTAATCCATTTTGACATAATTGTTGCGGATTGAATTCTCTACGAAAATTCAGATGCATCAACCGATGACATTATTTGTGACGTGCGCATGTTTGTGCAAAATACTGATACGCATCACGTCTCTCTCTCTCTCTCTCTCTCTAGAAAATATATGAATGGAGCAATAAAACATAATAATTATTTATTTCTTATCAAATATTTTTTCTGAATAAGTCTTTTAATTGGCGTGTGTTATTTCACGAATTCAATGACAGGTGAACTTATCACTTTTTTTGGAAAATTTTTTACCTTAAGAAAAACACCGAACAATTACATTTACATACATCGAACAGTTACATTTTTATTTAAGTTTTTCGATAAAATATATTTTTACGCGATAGAGTGACGACACTTGAAAAATATACCGTGACTGGAGATAAATTGTCGTTTTATTTTCAGCGACAAAATATCATTAACGTGTTGTAAAATTGTTTAATCTTTCTTTTGTACGATTCTTTGAATCGATCGATGTGGCGCGAACAAAAAAACTGAAAACCGAAACTAGTTACGAGTCTTTTTTATAATCGATAATTTGATATTTGTTCATCAGAAACATAATCAAGCAAAATATATTTAAAAAAATGTGTGTTTTCCAATTTTTTGTTTAACGAGGATCATTAAAATAAAATACTATTAAAACAACATCTGCGTTAAAAAATTTTGTAATTTTTTTGCACTTCTTTTTATTTTACATTTCTGTACAATTATTTTTTTTTTATTTACAATCTGTTCTTCGAATTTCTCATTTTATTATATCCGCGAACTCTTAAAATAAGACGCAATCATTAAAATGGCAACTAATTAATTATTTCTATTATCACACAGAATTTGTGTAGCTCTGTCAAGTCGGGCGAATTTAACGGGCGATCATGAAAGTGTCCGTAGGTGAGGATAGTAACTACCTAAGTGCTTAGACAAGGTGGCAGAAGCAAAACGATCGGCGGGTAAGGCGATCGACGTTGGTTTGTCGTGGTGGAAGCCGTGGAAGCCTTACATGTAGTTGTATACGCGAAGATATACACGCGTGCGTCTATATAGCGCACGTAGACAATATATCTGTGTACATCTATATAGAAGTCCCACGTAAACCCTTATTTCTTTCCCCTGCAATCTATATGACTTAGAAGTTCTACATTTCAATCGCTTCAAAATATCGGCCTGTGTACCTTTTAGTCTGAGGATTCTTGGAAACTTTGTTTTCCATTTCTGTTGCATCAATTACAATCTCTTTGGAAAAGAGATATTTTATCAAAATGTATAAAAACACACACACACACACACACACAAAAATAAATATATGATATACGAGAAAACTCTCTTCAGATTTCAAATCATGATAACGCAACGAAAGAGACGGTAAGTCACTGATGATCATAAGTGGCAAATGAATTGTAAAATGTGTGTTTTTTATTAAAAAAATAAACACATACAAAAGAATCGTCACACTAATAAGATTGACAATGAAAAATAGAAGAATATTTCTCTCTTATTTCAGTCTCGATAAGAGTCAAATATGTCAGAAGTTTGTGTTACGAAACGCAACTTTAGCATTTTCTTACGGGGCGCGGTTTTCTCTCAGATTATCCGAAATAAGCCGTCCGATCTGCTCGGGCACGTGGAGAAGATGGGAGACTCTCGAACTCACCTCGTTGAGGGAAAGACGCGGACGCGGGGCTGACGCGGCTAAGGGAGCCGACCATGTCGCTCGGCGAGGGATGCTCGAGCGTCTGCAAACCGTGCGATGGCCTCCATGGAAACGCCCAGCCGGCGCCACCGAGTAAAACGCCGCGGATGCCGTCGGCGTCGACAATGTCCGGCGATTGTCCGGCGACCTGCACGGCGTTGCTGAGGGCGGACGACGCCGCGGCCGCCAATCGCGAGTGATGCTGATGCTGCTGTTGCTGCTGATGGAGATGTTGCAGCGTTGACGGGTAAAACAAACCGCCGATGCCGACCGGGTATCGGCTCGCGAGCAATCTAGAAAGACAAGATGGCGTGAAATATATTTTATTTCGTAAACATATTTCAAATGCTAGATATGTAACAAGTCTGTGTTAATCTTTCGAATAATTGAGAAAACACGAGCGCGCTGCAGCAACAGGGCTTGTAAATTGGAATTGAATATTAAAAGTTCATTTATTGAAATACAGAAAATCTTTATCTTTCAGTATATTTTAATATTTGAGACAGAAGAGTGTCTTCAATATTCTAAGGAACCATTGTAGGAATCTGTGTGCTACAAGATTGCGCTCACTTCAATATAAAAACTATTAAACACACAAAACCCTGATATCAATTTGTAGAAAATCTAAGTCTTGTCATATTTAATATAATAACGTGCATGTTATTATATCAGTAACGTGTGTGCTATTATATAAGATTATTCTAAAACGCCGTATAAATGTCAAGAGTAATGTCAAGTAATAATTAAATGTCAAGAGTTGCTTGGCGTTAGTCAGACTGTGAAGTCTGTGAACTTCGAGCTTTATCATTGTCGGACATGCGATTATGCGAAGAGAAAAAAAAAAAAAAAAAATACCGAGCGCAGATTTCCAGCCCTGTTCGCGAAAAGTTTCGCGAACAGCTACCGTCGCGGAGAGTCGAGCAGAGCCGGTCTACGATGCGAGCAACTCGACCGTGCGATCGTTACGTTCGGGATAAGTGCCGTCGGTCGTAGCCGGCGGCCATTACCACTCGGATTTGTTCAACCATTCGGGAGAAAGCAAAGTTCTCCACCGCTGGAATATTTGGAAACCGTGTTGCGCCGCAACAATGGCCACGGATAAACGCTCGACTGGTTATTAAAAGCAAGAATCCGCTTAGAGCAAGAAGAGCGCGGAGATCGCTGACCAAAGGACGTACCTGGACTCTTCTTTCAGTGGCGAATTTAGAATTTCAAGGACCTCGCACACGAAAGGCGTGTATGGAAAAAACTTAATTGACATAATATTTTCATTCCCACACAAACGTGTGTGATTCCGCATTAATTAATATATTAAAAATAATATAAATATTCCAATCACGATGCCAAAACAAAAAGAGATTTCGAATCTGACCGTCCACTCGCGGTCGGTCCGAAGACGTGAGATCGTTTATCGGTAAATCCGCTACTGGTTTTCGCTCCTGCCGGTTTTTCTCCGGCTTTTGTTTGGCCGTCTAACGAGTGTTCCCTTTTTTTTTTTTTTTTTTTTGATCCGATTGTTACTTCCGATCGCACTACTGGCGAAGCGCCGTCGTTGCAGCTGCAGCAGGCGCCGGTTGAAAACTTAACGCGAGAGTGACCGATTTTGCGGCGACAATTTCGACAGAAACAGACAGGATCCGCCGGTCGACCGCGCCGATCCGGCCGATATCGGCAGGCAAGGGCCGGTTGGTTAGGCATGTGGGCCGAGGAGGCTTCGGAAGCCGTAGCACTTCCCCATGTTTCTTCCTCGCTACCCCGGCAGTCTGCCTGCGACGAGCGATCTGATCTCGTTTTCGATACGTCTCGCGAAAGCGTATTTTACTTCGAGCACTTTGCGCCGACTACACACGTCGGAAAACACACACACGCACACAATAAGCAGTGAGGCTTAAGCAGCAACCAATCACAATCAAGTGTTCTCGACCTGTCAGATAGCAATCATGATTGTGATGATTAGTCACTTCGTTTACTGCGCTTCACTTGTTTTGTGTGCGCTCGATCTATCACTCGGCTAATATCTCGGTATTTGATCGCGGCGAATATAAAGATAGGAGATTCGCGATTCATTTGCTTTAATATTCAACTAAACCGGCCGATACCAAGTTGCTTTAATCACGAACATTCGGAAATTCATCTGGTAAATTTGCTTCGGAATAAGAAAAATAAATCTGTGGGGTGTAATTCGGAATAACAAAAATAAAAATAAAAAATATAACAAAAAAAATACAACGTTTCTTTCATTAAAAGATCCGGTCTTAAAGAGAGCCATTCTTTTATGTACGATTCGGCGAATCGATCGAGTATCGATCTTTCAAGGGCGCTATCTTGCGAGCGACGCTCGTGTTTGACACACGACTCGGTACGTGGACGAAGGCTTCGCAAATCGTGCTACGTCCACGTTTATCACCCGGGACGAGGGTGGCAAGCAATAATACGACACAACAAACATCGATGACGACGATAACGACGACAACGAGAACGTCGCAAGGCTGGATGGAATCGAGAAACACACAGAAGCGGAATTAAGTGGGACCCTCCCTAAGAAAATTCCTTCGACGAGACACGCGATCTTCGACGCCTCTTTCTTAATCTCCCTTCTCCAGGATCTTCTCGGGACCAAGATATCCTGGCAGGCTTCGCACACGGCGAACGGGGAAGACGGGACGCGCACAAATGCCCCGGAAAAGATAAAGGAAATCTGACAACCGCCTGTTTGTAAGCATTCAGGGACCCTTCGCTCGAAGGCGCAGGTATAAACACCAAACACTCCAATCTCTTTCGCGGCGGAGAGATCCTTCCACCTTTTTACCGCCTAATTCCGCAGGACCTTTACGTCTTAGACGTGGTCACGAAACACTCGACGGTTTACGAATTCTCTTCACCGTAAAGTAGAGTGCTTTCGAGCACTCTTCAGCGATACGTCTCTCTAATGGGCTCTTTCAATCTAGGTCATCGAGCACGCACTTGACTCGCGCGCGAATCGCGCGCTTCTGTGTGGTTCCCGCTTTTCTCACCTCCGCGTCGATAATCTCCGCGGCAATTGCGCGTTTCGCGCGTTCACATTCAATTCCCGAAGGAAAATTATATTTAATTCTCCGTTTCTCAACGCGTTTGGTGACTTTTAATATCTTTTTTATGCGGTGCGCGATTTTAATGACAGTAAAATTTTGTCATCTGTAAAATATTGAAGAAAAAACTGACGACAACTCTTTTATAAACGGAAATTAATCAAAAACAAAACTTTAGCTTCTGCTAACTTTATTTTCCGAGGTTTCCACATCACGATAATTAAAATTTTTTTTAAAACTTATTTTCATGAAATTTTTATTAATTCATATTCTCAACGTAAGCCGCATTAGTCCTCGGTGGACATTTTTCCGTTAAACTCTCCCTTCCCCCGCGTTGTCCTCAATGACGTGTTACACCGCTTGCTTGTGTATTGATTATTATTCTCTGCCTCTGCTTGCGCTCAGTGAGTAAGTGCCATTCTCAAATATAAACTCTTTATGCCGTTAACGATCGCTCGTAACACGATACGTTTCGTCGTGTATCGTTACACCGAGGGTAGTTAGGAGCGTAGCGAAGAAAGAGAAGTCGATCGCGTTCGCTAGCGAAAGTGCGCCCAAAGCGGTTTGCAATCTGTATGCTCAACATGCGATCATCACGCTGTGCTTTAGAGGAAGAAAAAACCAACAAAAACAGAGAGGAGAGCAAAAACTGAATTACCGATATATTAAAAAATGAAGAAACAACGAGAGAAGAGAAAGAGACGGGGGATGGGGTGAATTTCTTATTTTTTACCGACTTGTGTGTTAAAATAGAAGTGAGTTTTTTGTCTTGACAGGCTAACTTCTAACGTGGATCAATTTACTGTGTGATCGTTTACTTTTAATGTGAAAGAGAGAGATCAATTTTTTTTTTTTTTCATACTTTTACAACGTATTTCTTTCGCGACACGTGCGACATGACGAAATCTATCGTTATATAGTCTTCTAAAGCGACTTACGCGAGGGATGACCCGACGGCGATTTATTGGCTTTCAAAGCGTTCTACTAAATCCTCCGTTGGCTTCGTTGGCTTTATTAGCTTGCAATAGAATTCATTTTCGTCCGTGTCAGAAACAACTGTCTTCGACATGTGTATCTACGTCTTAATCAAATCCGCAATTACAATCGTGAAAATCGTCGAAATAAAAATTTCGAGGAGTGTCATATATCTTCGGACTCGTTACGCTAGTTCCAATCTTCTCGTGCAACTTTTAATCGAGAGAGAGAGACTACGTGAATGAATCGATGTGTCGAATGGAACTGGTGCGCGGGGGATTGTATTGCGCTGCAATTACGATTCGCGGTCCATCCACAGCAGCCATCGTCGCTCATTCCGCATTTGTTCTGAACGTCGAAACATCCATATCGCTCGCGAATAGGCGATCATACACAATAGGCTTTATCGTATCTTCCTTTGAAACTTGTAGCGTGATCCCACCCTAATTAACGAATCATTCATCAGCGCTGTAATTAACGAAGCAGTCTCTGTCGCGGATTATTAGACGGATCCTTTTGCTCGTGCGATCGTAGCGCGCGCGCGCGCGGTTTCATCCTTTTCAATATAAGTTCTCGCATAATCGACACGCGACGAGCAAAAAAAAATATCGTCGCGGAATACCTTCGCGCTACCGTGTGCAAATAAACGCGGAACGTAAAAAAAAAAAAAAAAAAAACTTGAAAAGACGAACACACGTGTGTGCGGCCGTTTTTAATGCGCGACACGTAACAAAATTCGCAATTGTCTTTATTTCACTCTAATTTTCCGCGTACGTATATAAGATATATATTTTATTAAACTAAAAATACAGAGTAAGGTGTCTGTATAAGAGTCCGCGTAGATAGTGTGAAATAATTAATGAGTATGAGATGTATTATACAAATTTTATTATTTTTGCACAAATTAATAATTGTTTTATTTATTTACATAATTAATTGGATAATTACTAGCATTTCGTGCGTATATACTATAACCCTCATTCTTGTATGAATCAATTACACCACGGATAGAAGAATTTTATTATCTCTTATACGGACACATTGATCACATTGGAGTGGATGTTTTAACCACGGTAAAATATATAAAATATTTATACGTTACGTGTGTCGACTTGTAAGCGAGGAAGAGAAGCACGTCTCTCCCGGCTCATGTCGCACCTTAAGAAGCCTCGGAGATTCTCGGAAATGCGATTGTTACGATTTCATAAAGCGCGCATGTACACCGAGCGCGTATCCCGCGCGCAAATCCCGGTACTTATTCCTGCGGAGAAATATTATTATTTGATCAGTCAAGAGTATAGAGAAGAGAGGGATGACGCCGAGATCGCATGGCGCCAGCTTCTCTCTCTCTCTCTCTCTCTCTCTCTCTCCACCGACCTTGGTGAGCGAGAATCTCTCAAGCTCTTGGTATAGAGCGGTGATTTAATAATAAATCGGGCCTAGAACTTGCGCGCTTCCTTCCGGAAGAGAGACGTAAGGGCTGCTCGACTAAATGGGTGCCCGTTTCTCGTGGGAATCTTAGGCTTCTTAACCTTGGACTATACGGCGTTCCGCGCCGCATTCATTATGCAGTTGGTGCCTAATTGATTTTTTTTTTTTTGCTTCTTTCTTTTCATCCCCTGTTGTACCACTGTGTTCACGGGATGCAAAACTATCGGTATTTGCATATTTGTTCCAGCCGCGCGCGACGGGAATTACAACGAATTTTGCTGGCGATTGCTCGTAACATTAATTAGCGTGCTTACGGAATTACGCCCGGAACGCACGAACACGAGCAGCTGCGTGTGCGCGCGCGCGCGTGTGTGTGTGTGTATCGCGCGATCATCGCGTAATTCTACGCCGCGCAAATTTTTGTCGAGTTGTATTTAAACGTGCAAATGGATCCGAATAGAATATACATGATTTGTAATTTCACATATCGCCGCGACGCGGTCATTACGCCAAGCGTGGCGACAAGTCTCTTTTGCAACTCTTTGTGACGCGACGAATTGTGAATTCACATATCTGTATAAGTTGCACTTAACGTTGTCGGCGCGTGATTTGATACGCTTTCCTCGACGTTTTTTTGTTACCGGAGATATATACAAAGGCCATTTAAATTTATCGAAATATCGCGTCGCATACGAACGAGAACGTATTTTACAAAAATTCTTTACGCCCGACCTATTAAAAATGCAATAGATTATATAGATTTGTTGAATACACAAATTTTTTGAAGTATGAATCGAAGGGAAAGATAAAAATTTATGAATAATTCACGACATATCGACGGAAGGTGATAATCTTTAATGATCCCGAAATCTCGTTCTTTTGTCGGCGGGAATAGAATTAACTATGTTTCACCTTTGGTGCGACAATCTGTTTACCGAAGCTCACTGTTTATCAGTTGGGCGCGATAAGTTGGTTTGTGTGACGGGACCCATTCGGCGCTTTTCACGTTGAACCAAGTGTACCCCAGCGGTGCATACGAGTGGAACTTAATCAAATGGTAAACGGGTGGAAAACAAGCAATCGTGGCCGTCGCAGCCGAGCATGGCGACGGAGGGTTGAAGGACGGCGAACCAACCGGGGGAAAAGAGCAGACCGTCAATCGGGAGGGGGTGTAAATCTGATAAAATCATCTCGAACCCTCGAGTGGCGCGTCTCCCGTTCGTCCCTTGCCAGCGCGGGTTCCTCGCGCAGATATATCCGATAGCGCGGGGGAGACGGGGGTGGTTCTCCTAAGTAACGTAAGTAATGTAAGAGGGTGGTTGTGTTACTACGGTTGTTATTAAATGAGACAGCCTAATAGGCCCATTACGGACCCCTTGCCGGTCCATTCCCACATAATATAATCCTCACCGCACGCGCGCTCGCTCGCCATTGTCGCCGTCGTTTCTACCTCCCTCTCTCACCCTTACGCCCCCCCCGATATGCCGTGTATCTTGATCTCACGCCTACGAGGTGTGTCCTGGTCGGACGATCGCGAAAACTGTCCCCCGGACACATCCTTTCTATATCCTAATCCAGGTTGACGTACACGGGATATTGTGTCCCAGGGAACAGGGTGTCGCGCGCATCAGCCGAAAAAATATCTCGGATCTTCTTTGTGGAATTTAGAGTCAATTTCTCTCATCGGTGGAAATGTGGACGCTCGTCATTGCGTTGTATTGAGGATAGAATTGCCTCAAGTAACTTTGAAATACCGCGCGAATACGTTTTCTTCGCGCGCGAAAGACATTACAGTTCTCTCGAGTTTTATTAAAATGATATACTTTTAATGAATAACGCGCGTTCATGATTCAGCGATTTGCATCGTTAATGCAAAACGCGCGCGTTGCGCTCGCGTGCAAAATTATGCAAACAACACCGTAGAGATAGATTATTAATCTGTCGCGCGATAGTACTGTCGAATCTCTCGGGTGTCAAAGTTACGCGAATTCGTGTGTTTTTATCGCGAAAAAAAAAAAAAAGAAATGTTAACGCGCGCGGCCGGGTTTCTAATTGCCCGGGAGAGGGCGCGGTCTTAATTTATTCAACGTTTCCGCCAATTATGTGCGAGCCGCGAATATGAATAACGACGATGTTGCGAATTAATTAATCATTAGTAAGTATTAGCAACTCCATTTTACCGACACTTTTGCATTAATATTAAATGGAGGCGGCACTAAATTGACCGTTAAACGATGCGGTTTAAATCGTTGAATTATGCAGATATCCATACTTCGGTTTATTGATTTTTGAAAAATTATTATTGTCACTTTATGTACACAGAAACATGTGTGACTCCTCCGTGGCTTAATTATAAACAAATAAAGATAGTACAACTCCAAACGTGATCTATGGATTTTATTCGAGTGACTGACATATTCGCTCTGTGTAACAAAATGAATGGCGATCGCCGATCAGTGCAAGGTTCAAATTTCGGCCAGTTATTTCGTTGGCATCGACCAATAAAATCGAAGGTCACATTGCCGCATCAGCCGAGTTTAATATAACGGTGTTGCGCGATGTATGCTGTACGTGAGTAAACGTTGGAATACACGCGTGCATTGCAATATAAAATGCTCTCACTTGAACGTCGGTAACAAGTATTATTACAAAATCGCTATCGTGCCAGTTTTTTTTTTTTTTTTTTTTTTGTTACGAGAAAACGCTCGTTCGCGCGTGGCAACGTTGTCGCAAAGCTTCTACCGCTAATCGTTTTTAAGATCGAATTTAAATAAAAACACGACTTCATACTTTCACGGGTTTCCCTGCTCGAGAAAAGCTGTCTCGCGTGATCACATCACGTGTACGTTCCGGGTTGTCGTGGAAATTGCGAATTGTCATCGAACGTTTCGAGTTGAGATAAAAACAACGCGGACGTTTTTGATTGGCTTCTCGGCTTTTGAGGTAGTCAATTAAAAATCGGAGAATTAACCTTTTATCTTACGATTTAATTTGTGTCACATGCGTGTGGCATAGTCAGCAACGAAGTCGCTTAAGCGACCAACAACAATGTAGTCATTCTCGATCTTTCTTTGCCGTATTAATGTTTCGTTTTTGAAACATATTGTAAAGATTTTTTAAATATATTCAAATGAAGAAACTGAGAACAGAAGTCGCAAGCAAATAAATGATGTTTATACACTCATCGATAGCCAAGATTGAAAATAAGTGCGACTGTACTGATAGAAATAACAAGAGCACGACTCCTGGTGTACTTTTTTAAAATGTTTTTAGTCCGCATCACACAAGTCTCACATACGACATTATAAGACAAGAAGTTAAGATGTGAGCAAATAAACAATGTGAATTTCAATAAAATCGCTCAATATTTGGCTGACATTCGATGTATTGTTATATATCTAATATTTATCAGTACGTGAACACGCATATTCGCATTTCAATTACGTATATAAACGTCACCATATCAATAGTAAAGACAAACGATATTTATGTTTATATGTTAAAATAAAATATTGTTACTTATGTAAGAAGAAATAAATATCGTAGGCTTGCAGTTTCAAATTATTAAAAATTTTTTTTCTTACAGTTTATATACGTATCTAAACGACGTACATGCGAACTTTTTATATGACTCACGCGATATGTAAATATTAAAAATTACTTCGCTTTGTAAGGAGAAGAGATGAATCTAAAATATATAAATTTACTTCAGAATTGTTTAAAAAAAGCCGAAAGACGATATAACATAATGCATGATTTTTTTTTGTTATGAAAAGTAGACTACAGAATATATAGATATGTGTATATAATTTAAAAGAAGACAATACACAAATAGTATCTAAAATGTCAAACTGTCTGCTTCTCACATGTAAAATGGAACATGTTGAATTCATTACGTTACATCATCCCATTCACAGTTTAGGAACATTTTCATAAATAATGCAAAGAGAGGCTCTAATGTCACAATGCTTTATATTCCCGCGAACGTTATGCAATCTGATACACACTGGCTATTATGACGTATAACAGAAATGTTTCTCAATGCAGTCTCATATCTAATAACTTATGTGTCTCGCAGTTTTCAGTAATTTTTGAAAATGATCAATAACAAATAGCATTGTTAGTAATTTGTTAATGTTCTAGTATACAATCGGGCGCACGTGTGTCTCGTGGATAACTGAGATTTATAATGATGCGATATTTCATTGAGAAAACCGAAAAAAAAAACAGAATGACGAAAAAATTTATGTGTACATTCACCGTCACGCGATCTCTTTTTCGCGAAAAAAAAGATTTGGGAAATTCATTTACAGCTTTAATTTGAATTTATTTGCCAAAGTTATATAAAATGTGACGCGAGTCATTAATGCGTGAACTTTACATTTCCAATGAAGGCAAGCACATGCAGCAAATTTTCTTTTGTGTCTTCGCGGCACACTGCTAACAATCGGAATTCTAAGAAACAATCGGGATCACGTACCTTGATATCATTGCGAGATCGGCTTGATGTCCTAAGAGCGGATTGGAGGCTGCGTCGCCTGGCGGTGAGAAGGTCGCGGCTGGACTGTTAGCACTGGTAGCACATCCGATAGCAATACCCGCCGAATTGGTCCTAGTTTCCAACCCGGTGTGCCCCGACACCGGTATACCGCGCTGGCCGCCGGACAATCTGAGGGACGTGGGCGAGGACGAGGCTCTTCCGGGGCTGCCGCAGGAAGGCGGGATCCTCTGCGAGTTCTGCGAGCCCGCCGGCGGCGACGTTCTGTCCACGTCCGACGATTGTCTCTCGCCGGATCCCGTGGACGTGGCCGAGTCGACCGGCGGCGACTCCGGTCTGCCGAGGATGCTGGAGATGCTGAAGGACGTGTACTGCGGATTGCAGGCCGGCCTGAGCGCGGGTTTGCTCACCGAGTCAAAACTGAACGAGTGGTGGTGATTGTTCAGGCCGCAGCCGGATTTCCCGTTCTTCTCCTGCAGCAACAGATCGGCCGGCGTGGAGCTGCTCCGGGAGCCCTCCAGTTCCAAATCCTCCTCGGAGACAACGGACACTTCGATCTCCGTCTCACCGGACATTCTTCGCGCTCGATCAACTGGAAAAATTTGTCACGCGGCAGTTTCTTTGAAAGACTAGCCTTTGAAAGCTAGCTCGTTTAGATTCTTCAAACAAGGCCGCGAGGTACTCGATCTTGGCTGCGCGACATTCGACTTCGTCGACACCTTGGGGTACTCAGTACAATCAGTCGATCGGGTTTTTAACGACAGGCTTACGTCGTTTCGCGTGACGCAACGCGACAGTCTCCCTCGGGTGATATCATATCAAGACAATAACACACAGGTACGCGTGTACACAGCGCGGCTTTGAATGAGGCTCAGACGTTGCTGGCGACAGTTATCAGTCGATGCGCGGCCGTCACAAGGACGTCCTCGCGCGTCGTCGTGGATCGCAGACGGATTGCTCGATCGCGCGACATTCGTAAGCGATACCCTGGACGACAGGATGATAGGAGACAAGACACTTGGAGGGCCCACCCTTCGCGGAGTCGCCCTCTCCCCCTATCGTCCTTTCCGCCACCTATCACACCCCCTCTCTCTATCTTCGCTTCTCTTCCTCTCTCTCTCTCTCTCTCTTTCGATTTCTCCTTCTTTACCACTACCTATCCACTCCAGCACGTCTCCTCTCCTTTCTGTCTCGTCCGCGCCTTTCGCTCTCTATCGTTCGCCGCGCGGCGAGCAAAGCGTTCTCGCGCGTACAACGCGTCAAAAGACGAACTGCGTTACCGTATCACTTTTCTCGAGTCACTTGCACTGATTGCACTTCTTCACAAATCAACAAAAGTCGCGTAGGCCCATGGTCATCACGGTAGAGTCATCGTGTCTCGATGCACAGTTTTCCATTTGGTTGATCGATACGCGACATCGAGAACAATTGCTGAAACGAACATACGCCGTGTGCGTCGCTCGCACAATGAGAAATCGCGCGTGAGAATAATCGTTCGGTGACCGCGAACGGATCGGCGCGAGTCCAGCAGAACTGACGTGCTCGCGTCGCGTCGGAATTTCGACTTGCGCGCGTGTCACCAAAGCGTCGGCGCGCGCTGACAAACGTTCTCGCGCGCGCTCGCGCTAGAAAGAGAACAGCAGCGCGTAATCACCCTCGTGTCTATGATGCGTCTCGCGCGGTTCGGTCCCACTCACCGCGGCGGATCGCCACGCTGTGCTCGCACTACTAAGGGTAGGAAAACGTCGGAGAAACCGCAGGTCACACAGACGAGAGGAGAAGCTCCGCTTCTCGTACACAACGCACGCACACGCTCGCACATTCGCTCGTTCGCGCGCGTCATACGTCGAGAGGGTAGGAGAGAACGCGACAGCGAGAGGGAGGGAGAACGACGGCGGCGGAAAGTAAGACAGAGAGACTGAGCGGCTTCGGAGTCACGCTTCGAGAGTCACGGGGTAGTTATTGCGCGCCGCGCGATAGCTAGACTGCGGGATGCGAGAAGGGATGGCTCCGTACGCCGGAACGGAGCAAGCGGATAAATTAGAGGGTGTCAGAGAGAGACGGAAGGAGAGGGAACACACGCTGGCGCGCGGGGAAACATGGGGAGAGAAAGGGGGTGGCAAGCGAGCGAGTGCGGAGGACGGCTAAGCTGCAAGTTGCCGGAAGGGGTGTCGGTGCGGTCGGGGTAGGTGACGGGGCGGGGCCTACGGCTTGCCAGGGGTTGGCTTTCCCGACTCCTCATAGGACGGAGGAGCGATCGATGACTCGCGCCGCACACGACTACCCATGGGGGTAACTCTCGCCGCGGACCAATCACGTCGGTCTCGCCGTCCTTAACTCGAAAGATACTCGCCCTCGACGGTTCCGCGCTCGGAACCGCGCCACGGCGATGGGTGGACAGGGTGGTCGTGGTATACGCGAGGCGACGACGAGCGGACGCGAAGGGTGTACCGGACGAGGGGGAGAGGGGGAGAGAAAGCGAAGAGGGAGTCGGACGCGCTCGGCGAAAAGGGGATTGAAGCGGTGTGGGGATAACACACAACCCGGTGTGGCGGTGGCCGTGCCACGCCGTGTTACTTATCCATTATAACACTCCAAGATCTTGATTTAAGCCTGCAGCCAGTGGTGAGCTTTTAACCAATTAGCCTTTATAGCCTACCCCCTGCACCCTCCCGCCTTCCGCCGAGCCCCCACTCTCTCCTTGCTGCCCTTCTAGCTCACCTCGTCGAGTCTCTTCCTACTGTAGCGCGCGATGGTAGCCACCGTTGGTGTAACTATATATATCCTATACCGACGTCCTCGTCCACAACCGCACGATATATCCACCTAATCTACCGACGCTCTTCATCCCCCAACGCTCTCTCCTTCTTGCTCCTGGAATTATCTCCTCCACTTCTCTCGCTTTGTGCCTCTTCGTTATGTACCTACGCATTATGTCGATGTATTAGCACGACATATTCGCGCGTGAAAGTACGTTAAAACACGTACGTGTTGCAAAATGCGCATGTGTTGGAGAACCTCATCATAGTTAGATAAGAGTGAGAGAGAGAAAGATGCGGTTTAAATATACGCGGCTTGGGGCGACGCAAATTAAGAGTCGACCACGAATGATTCGGACTGCGATATACGCGAGAGATCGTCCTCTCTTCCCCTTCCACTTCCTTTCCTGCCCAACTACGCGTCAGGTTTATCGATTCGAGGGGGACCGCTTCCTCGACCTCTCAAGTATCCGTCGTGAAATGATAATAGTGCTGTTTGTGGTCATCGCGCACCGTTTGAGAAAATCGAGGTGATATATATTTAGCTTTGTTATGATTAAATAACGTTATAAATACACCTCACACGTGTAACAACGATCGATTTTTCATATCAGCACGTTGCTTCGAAAAAATAAGATAAAAATATAGCCCTACACATGGCGAGGCAGATTGTTCGTGGAACATTTTCAATCTTCATACTAATTTCGAGAAGTGACATTTAATGAGTGACATTTTTTGACAATCATGCCGCGATATATCTTTTAATCAATTTAAGTTCCTGTAATCCCGACGAGGTTAATTAGAAAGAAAATGTTCTTTAATTCCATTTAGTTCAACCGGTTCGATGTCGCCGATAAACCGCGTCAAACAAAAAAAAAAAAAAAAAACCGCCCCTTTCTTGCGGGGTCGAGATAATTAATGCGTAAGCATAAACAAGATGTAACATAGTAAAAACGCAAAGAGGCAGAGCGCCGCTAACAGCAACACTCCGAGTCTGGCCAGACGCAAATGAGCGGCGCGCACGCCACGATAGCCACACCTCGTGGCTCGCGGGAAAACGACCGCGCGCTCGCGGAATTCCGCACGGAAAGCCACAAACGGCAACCCCGCTGTTTAGCAAAGCTGAGAAAACCGGAAGTAGTCGTCGTTTTTCTGTCCGCGTGCACAAGAAGAAAACGCGGAGGAGATTTTACAACAAATACTTTTTGAAAGATTGTAAAAAATTTTATTACAAATACACGCTGTAAAGAGCAACTAACTTTCTTAGTTGGCACAATTGTTACTCAGAATCGCAACACTTCCTTCGCGAGTCCATCTTTCTCTTTGTCAAGAACTGATATCGACTCGCTTTACACGTCATAAAAAGTTTTTCAAGTAACAAACGTACAAAAAACAAATTTTCTCAAAAAAGTATATAAAATAAATATTTTCAGAACTTATTTGTATAAATTTGTGCGCGGCGCGGTTAATTCGTGTCGAATTGATTTTTAAATTGGATTTGTAAATACGTTCGTTTTTTTTTTTTTTATAGAATAAATATTGAATCAATCCAGTTTAAGAAAATTGTTAACAAATATTTCTCGCAAATGTATAAAAAGTTGAGCAACGATGCATTAATAAAACACGATTTTTACATGAATTGTTTAATCATTCATATCTAATAGAATTTGATACAAACGTACATATACATGCGCAGCGGCCTCTCGCGCAAATCAGTGTATACATATATTTCTATGCAATAAACTCGCACTCGATTCACGTTATGACGGATGGTCATATTCCATTCACGCTTCAATCACGATTCGGTCAAATATCCTTTAATGCGTTTGAATAGCGCTATACACTCGCGACCGCGTCCAAATCACGATATGATCTCCGCGTGCAGTGGCAATTTTTTTTTAAAAACACACGACGTGTGTCTCGCGCGCACACACGTCCATTATATTACTCCGGGATTTTAATTTTACACGCAGTATTTTATGAAACTTACCCCGATGAATAAAACCAACGCGAAATAAAAATTAAAATAATTCAAAGATAATTCAATATAACTAATGGAATATGGTTCGTACAAATTTAGAAACGGTTTATTCTTTTAAAAGTTAATCAAACTATGTTTTAAAATAATATCTTGCACTGTAAAAACAACGACTCGTGTATATATATAAAATAATAATCCTTCATAGATATACGCTAAAGTACGAATACAAAATGAGAAATTACATATCATAGAGATAAACGCGTGAAAATAATAGCCACATATTTTGAGTTTTTTTCCAATTGTGTAAACAAATATTTTTGTAATATCTTGAATAAAAATCTTGACGCAACTTTTTGTATTGACAAAAATCACACGGTCGTGAGGAAAAAGTGCACAGTTTGCCGTTCGTGAATTTTCTCTCGATTTTCAAAATCACTAACCGAGGTGAATTTCAGTATCGCTTTGTACGTATAGTTGAATAGCCTACGGAAAATAGAGAAAAGTGCATTATACAAAGAATATATCGGTCCGAATACGTGCGTTGTGCTTTGTAAGATCGGCGTCCGGCGCGCACGTTAACGCATCGAAAATGCAGGGACGGCCTGAATATTTGCGAATATGCGCGTGTGGCCAATAGTCACAATTGTTGCGGATAGCAAAATCCTATTACGCCACACATATCTATTATATGCGTATTCTATCGGGTGCATTAGTGCATGCGTTCGCACCAAGTTCCTCCTTTGGGCTAAGTGCACAGTTGAGACTAACGGAAATCGCCTTTGTGCGAATTTGGATTAAAAATTGACGAAGAAGTCTGAGATTTGTAAGTACGAAG